CTTTTACCAACCATCCCCCGTTTCTCCTTCCATCCACTCCTTCTCACGATTTTTCTGATTTTTCATTTCTGGACGACGACGGCCTTGCATTCCTCGAATTTCGCATCACTGGCAGTAATCCGAATTTCGAACTTCGACTTTTTTTCGACGTGCATTAATTTCACATTCTCTACAACAACAAATTGGAGCAGGCACTCGATTACTTCTTTCAAGAGGGTGCCACGAGAATAAAGAAAGGAAGAGGAATCCGTGGGTGAACAGAGGAGGGCTTCCAAGTTGGGTTGTTGACTGAATTCGAGTTGACTACGACGACAACGGGATTGGATTGGATTGGATTGGATCTGGATTTGGTTTGGGTTGCACCGCCCACCTGCGCACCTTCAGCAGCAGCAAACCATTACGCCCCGGGCTGATCGATCGACACTCTTTTTTCTGCATCTAATTTTGCAACACCACCCATTGTTCAATCCCCACCACAACCGATTCCCCGAAGCTCGCATTGAGTTTGGACGTTGAGACGACGGGCATCCAAGTTAAGGCGCTGCAGCACCGCATAGCGTCCCCACAGAACACGTACCCGACGGCTTGCAGAAACCCGCGACGCCCCTTACGCGCGCGAACCAGGCATTCCAGAGCACTACTATACCGAACCACCTGTCTCATGCTCGCCCGCGACTCTTGCGTCAATTGAATTGCCACTTTTCGTCCCCCCCTCCCTTGATTTAACCGCCAGCCCTCGACTGCTGGTTCGCGAGACTTATGCCATCTTACGGCTCACTACACTCCCCATCGCTCAGGAAAATGGAACAATCCAGATATGGCCGCAAGCGCTTCAGCATTGGAAACATTATAGGTGATCCATTCGCACTCGCGACAATCTCGATTGCTTTTGTAAGTTTACACGAGTTGCCGCCCCCTTTTTTGTGCTGACGAAAGACGTTGCTGACACCTTTCAGCTTGCATGGATAATCGCGCTTTTCGGCTCGGTTTTTGCCCACATCCAAACAAAGGATAAATTTCCCCTATATACATGGTGGGGAGTGGTCTTCTACTTCTGCATCATTGTCGGCATTTTCGTCGTCATCGCCTCGGATAGTGCGCAAACGTATAATATTGCAATTGTTGGATACTTGGGTTGCGGCCTGATTCTCTCGACATCCTCAGTCAACGGTCTCATCTATGCCAACAATCCCGCAAAGGAGGCAACAGCTGCTGGCTTCATCCTGCTCTCCATGGTCACGGTATGTTTTTGCTGTTGCTGTTTCAATGAGTTGCGGGGAATCTCCACCCTTCATCTCGTCTGTCCCCACCAAATAAACGAGGCTAATGTTTGATGTCAGATTGTCTGGATCTTCTACTTTGGATCCGCCCCATCGGCCACGCCTCGCGCCTACATTGATTCGTTCGCACTCGCCAAAGAGTCTTCGACGAACAACAGGCAAACCATGAGCGCAGGATACGGCATCGGTCGGCCCGAAACCTCCACCTCTGTGCAACCACCCCAGATGTATACTGCTCAGCTTAATGGCCTTGAGAACCCATCGCCAGTGGGCGGCATGGCGTCCAACATGCGCAACTCGTCCATTGGAAACCAGTTCAGCTCGAACCTTGGAGCCAAGGCGGGAGCAAACCTTCCAACAACCTCGGACGCCGAGATAGTACCTCCAACCGAGTATCCTTACCGCGCCAAGGCAATCTACAGCTATGAAGCCAACCCAGAAGACGCTAACGAGATTTCATTCTCAAAGCACGAGATTTTGGAAGTCAGCGACGTCAGCGGAAGGTGGTGGCAAGCAAGGAAAGAGAACGGCGACACCGGTATCGCACCAAGCAATTACCTCATCCTCTTATAGTCTCAAGATTGAGAAATGGATTTGTTCTTTTTATTGTCAGAGTTTGAGAGAGATTATTTGCAACCGGGCAACAAAAAATGTGGGTGGCCGGGAGCAACGAAAAAGCACACAACACCACCATACACACAACCAACAACAACTATTAAAAAGGCATGACCACGCAACACATTATTCCAGATGATGTGGATGATTTTTTTTTCCTCTTTGTTTTCTTCTTGTGAGGCAACCGACACCGGGCCTTTCACAAAATATATACCCTACAACAGCACAGGACAGGACATAGCACGAATTGCCGATGAAATGGCCCCCAATCCGACTAATTGGCAGCTTGGGATGATGAGAGGGGGAAGTTGTCGCACTTCAAACTTGAAGTGGACACACAAAGACCGGCCCGAGCCACCCAGCCGTCCCTCACGCCCGCCTCGACTTGATTGCCTCGGGCACGACAAAGAGATTGTCGTGGGTAGTCAGAGCCGATCAAGTTGCTGTTGATCCCTATGCGCGCACACCATTTATTGCGTTTTTGGTTCAGATGCAATGTTGGATTTGCTGGGGCTTGGGACAACGCTGGGCTGCACTCATCCCATCGTTGTGGCGCAAACTTCCGACGTACGGATTTTGTTGGGTTATTGGGGGCTAAGGCAAAAAAAGCCTTGGTTCTTTTATATGCGGGTTGGTCTTTTTGGTTGTGTTGTCTTGTGTTTTTTGGTTCTTGGCTTTGCAGGTGTTTTTTTTTTTTGAGTCAAATGGAAACCGGAATGGATGGGTTTTGTTTGGTTGTTGTGTGTGTTTTTATTTTACTTCTCTTTTTTTTTTCTATTCTTTGTTATGTTTGTTTTTATCACACCCTTTTTTTCATCTGTTTAGCTCTTCGTTTTGTTTCTCTTTTACTTTGTGATGACAACCTCTGTGTTTTTTTTAAAAATAAAAAAAACTCTTCTTATTTTTACCCTTCTTGTTGTTGTTGTTTGGATTTGTCTAAACAATCATCAATACCGTTATTATCCCCAAAGTCAATCGCATACTCTCCTACTAAATATTTGGGAGATACCTAGAGAGAGACAGACACATGAAAAAAGCAATATACCAGGCTCCGGGCTCGAACACGAAATATTTGGGCTTTTAGAACTAACAGGTTGTACGTGTCTGTGCCCTATAGACTCTTGACATGATTGCTCTGCGCTTCACTAAGTTAAAGGTGCTTGGAAAGTGCCATGCTTCGTCATTCGAGACATTCGGAGCTCCGCGAAAGAAAACCAGAGGCCCAAACCGAGAAGCAGCACAAAAGCCCAACACATCCCCAGCCTTCTGGTTCCTCGTCCCATTCTACCACCAAACTACCAACAGATCCCCAACATATCCCTGACTTGGGTGCGCGCCGCAATTGTCCATTGCTCAATGATCGGAACAAGTGACCGACCCCGCCTCCGCCGCCGCAATCGTAAAAAAAAAATTATCATTCCTTCGTCCGAATCGGATTTGCTGCGCCGACATCCAGAATGGCCCATCGTGACTCCGCCTCCTTCCCGATCTCCGAACACGTGTTTTGCGGCAGAGTCCAGGGATATGCGAGGGAGTACTATGTAACAAACAGTTGACCTGTCCTGCCGCACCGAGTTTATCGGTATCTCTATCCGTCGGGTAGCTAGCCGGTGAGGGTGCATCTGGTGAGACCGTCGTCATTCTTGCTTGGCGCGGCATTTGTAGTGCAGTTATTATACCGGTCTCCTCGTTGCTTGAAAGGTCATTGTTGAAGTTCTGGAAGATCGTATCTGTCGAGACAGGTTCTCTCGGTTCGTAGAGCGAAAAGGCCTTCACTTGTCGTCGGGAGGAAAAGAAAGGTTGTGTGCCGTCTGTCCGTCCCTCCAGATATCTCTCACCCGAACGACACAACAATACAACATAACACCCCGACTCAGGGAAGCCATGTATGTATGTATGTATGTTTGACCTCCATATCGCATATAATCCTTTACTCCCTCCCAACTTTAAACAGTTCAAACCCTCTCCAACCGGCCCCTCAACTCCCTCTCCCTCTCCCTAACCTCCATCTCCAACCTCTCAACACTGTACTTCAGCGCCTCCCTCCTCTGCCTCAAAACTTTGACCCTCAAAGCCTGCTCCCCATCCAACCTCTTTCCTCCAATCCCCTTGTCCACCACCACGACCTTCTTCTTCTTCTCCTGCTGTCTGTTCGGTCGGACGTGATCATTATTACTGTTGTTATTACTACTATTCAACCGTCCAGCATTCAACTCGGCCCTGGCCTTCAGCGTCTCGATCCTCCTCGCCTGTCTCTCCAAGTTTTTCTCCGCCCGATCGAGTAAAAGCGCGATGAAGGGGCCGATTTCGTCTCGCAAAGAAGCTTCGGCTGCTGCGAGGGTCGGTTGGGGGATTAGCTCGTAGTGCTGTCATCCATTTCAGAGGTTAGTACAGTACAGTAGAGTAAATTCCTGAGCGTGGCGGGAGTAATAGGACAAGAGAAAAGGTATTAAAGTAAAGTTGAGAGGGGGGCCTTTGCAAAAGCTTGAACGTACGCGAACTGTTTTGAGTAGATTGGTTATGCGCGGGAAGTCTTGCACGCCTTGGTCTAGTGTTTGCACAGAGGATTCGAGAAACGAGAGGGAGGTGCGCAGGTTGGAGACGCAGTCGGCGTATGTAGGGTTGTAGGCCATTTTAATGAGTAGGGAAAAGTTTGCTAGAAATACTGCGCTGTGTAGTCAAGTTGGGAAAGAGTGATTTTCGCAAGTTGTTGGTTGAGTCGGCGGTTTGTTTTGTTGCTGGAGAGAGTTCAAGATCGGGCGGGCTGCATGTCAACAAAGGATGCCCCCCGCCAAATGATATCCATTGCTTTATGCAAAGTGGGTCCCCTTCGAGAAACGTTGTTCTAGATTCTTGGCGAGGCACGAACCCTTCCTTGCATTCACCCCTGGATCGACAACAAAACAGTGACAAAATCGAGATATGCTTTTGACAAGACAGAAATACTTTTTCGCGCATGGTTTTACTGACATGTCAGCACTACGCTTCTGCTGGTAGCTTATTTCGACAGCATTGTTACACCTCCCTCTACCCATCCACACCCACATTCACAACCCCAAAAAATGACAAAAAATAAACACCACTCCTGAGAGTAGATATTTCATTTGGACGAGCCCGGAATCGAACCGGGGACCTTCCGCAAGGACAGAAACATGCTAAGCGGGCGCTCTACCAACTGAGCCACACGCCCTTGTATGAGAGAAATTGTTGGAGAGTGGATGAGAAAAGTGTGCTCGAATATCCCTCATCCAGGTTGAGCGTGTGTCAGGAAGTGGAGAACCTCCTTGTCAAACCATCCACTCCTCCCTCCGGAACAGATAAACCCCTAAACCACACGAAGAGACCCAAGACTTTGTTCTGAAACTTGAACATAACAGCACAGGAAGGTAACCATTTTCTGCAAAAGGAACAAAGCTCAATTCGGGTATCCGCCAACCACACCTCGCCCTTGTACAACAACATCGAGCGCTGGCAACACCAGCTATGTATGTAGGTTTTGTAGTCTATCGATTTCAGGAGAGAGTGAGAGAGAGAGAAACTCGGCCACCAGGGAGGAGGGTCGAGAAGGAGGGTTATATATCATTGCGCCAAAATGCTTTTTCATGCCATGATATGTAAGGGGAAAAAAAAATAGAAAACAGGGAATAAAACAAGATATGTTCAAAAAATAACCAGAAAAAAAGCAAATCATCAAATCGACCCAAAACTCAAAAAGGAAACCCGCCCAAATCCCTCCGGGTTCTACCTATTCCCTCCATTCATCCTATTCCAGTACTCTTGGTCTTCACCATTTCCATACTGAGGTCCAGGTGGGTTCCCATACCCGCTAGGGGGCGCCGGGCTGGTGGTGGCTGCCCTCTGAGGAAGACCAAAGTCGAACCCCTGGGATGGACCGGGAGATCCCACTTTGCCGGGGTTCGTCATGGAGCGGTTTGGAGGATGAGGGAGCGGTTGATGCGGAGGCGGAGACATGGACTGGCCATACATGGAACCCGTTGGGGAGCGGAGGGGCTCGCCGAAAGATGCCGGAGGGAAACGAGGTGATGTGGAACCGCTGCGCAGGAGAGGGTCGTTGGCTCTGGGGCTTCCTGGGCCACCGGGACTACCAGGACCTCTGGGGCTTCCCTGGCCGCGGGGGCTTCCCGGACCTCTCATGGCAGCAGCGCCGGCGGCAGCACCGGCAGCACCAACAGCAGCGTAACCAGCAGCTCCAAATTTCTCATTCGTGGGCGATGCGACGGCCTTTGGGGATGTTGGCACGGTGTAGCCGTCCTTGTCGCTGATGCCGGCCATTTCTTTGGCGTTGTACTCGGTGGCCTGGCTGGTAAATCCATCTGGGTTGACGCCAGCCCTCTTGAAGCCCTCAAGCTCAAGGCGGTCTTGCTCTGCACGCGCGACAGCGGCCTTGGCCTCGGCGGCGCCTCTGCGACGTTGACGGATGCAGTAGAACAGGCCCACCATCAGCAAAATACCGCCGACACCCGCTCCGCTGGCATAGACGGCAATCTTTGCTGTGTTGGGGAGGTCATTCCACTTCTCGCCAAGGGTTTTCTCGGGTACTTTGTTGTACACTTCGGCAGCGGTGGATTCGCCTCTGTAGAAGCATTGTCAGCCATCATGGACAGCCAATTGATATCATGGGAGAACTTACTCGACGACCTTGATGCTTTCCCACGAGCCCGTCTTGTCGGTGTAAATGTATTCCTTGCCACTGCTGAAATCGTTTACTGAGACGCTCTTGACATGCATAGTGTAAGGGCCCTTGGAATAGTCGGTATCACCGCCAGCCCACTCTCTGGTTCCAGGGGGCAGATCGGGATCACCACCGGCCCAGATACCGATCCACAGGCGCATGGGAGTCTGGGGATAAAGGCGGCCGTTGTCGGCATCCTGAGGCAGAAGGGTGCGGACCTTGTTGCCGTCAACGTAGAAGTCGAGATAATCCTTGGTCCAGACCGTGGTGTAGTTGTGGAAATCGTTCTGAACGCCGCCTGGAACTGGATGATAGCCAGCGTTGACGAAGCTGGACGAGTTCTTGCCAAAGTAGTTGCTCTGAGCGACCGTGTCGTTTCCTCCAAAGAACTCCCAGTCGATTTCGTCGAGGTTGTCGCTCAAAAACATGATGGAGCTGATAACACCGGTTCCGTGGGCGGCCCTCATCCAAATTTCGGTGCGGCCCCAGAAAAAGTAGAACCTGGAGCGAATGGTTGGCGAATCCTTATGCTTGTTGATGGCGAAGCTGGCACCGTTCTCGTTGTCGTAGGTGACCTTGCCGACTGTCGTCTCCCACAGCTCAAACTTTGGTGTCACATTGAAGTTGAAGCCGATATCAATGCCCAAGCCCGGGTCAGGCGGGCATTCCTTCTCCATGGGAAAACAGTCTGTATGTACCTGGGCGGCGACATTTCCGAGCAGGAGTGAGCCAGCCAGCAGGGCAAGGCCTGATGACTGTAATGACTTGGGAAGCCACATTGTCGAAGTTGAAAGGTTTTATTTAGTGATGGTGTTGGAGCGGCTCAGCCAGCAACCTTTGGTATGTTGTTTCGAAGGAGGTCGAAGGCCCTGATGTTGTTTCCTGTGTTTGCTGCGTTTGAGGCTCAAAGCTGCATGTTCGAATCGGGAATTCTTTTTCGTAAAAGGGTAAAAGGCGCAGTTCCGATAGGATGATGGGATTGGGTGGGACAATTGAGAGTGTCCCGTCTCGGAAAGCAAGAAAACACTTGCAAAACGGTGTGATGTGAAGGAGTGTAGTTGAGGGCGGGCGATACGCTGCCTCTGAGAGAAAAATTGTCGACGGTGATGTCGAGTAACAAAACCAAAAAAAAAAAAAAAGAATAATAAAAAAGAGAGGGGACTCGCTGGACGATGAGGTGCCAGTGAGGAGAGGGTGGTGCCGGTGACCAGTGGAGCCGTGGACCGCTCAATGGAAAATGAGTGGCAGTGACGACCCTGACGAGATGACCGCCCAGCGCTGGGCAGGAAAGAGATTGAGATTGACCAGGGCAAAAAGGGGCGTTCGCCTCTTCGCTGCAGGCTCGGCACCGCCTTGGCATAGATTGGCATAGCTTGGCCGCCCTGGCGGTTAGGCCACATGCGGGATAGACCGTTGATGCACGAGCCACATCTCTGGGGAAACCCCTGAATCTGCAACGTGATCTGTTTTCACCTTTCTCGTTTCGCATTACCGCGTTCCTTATCGACCCAATGAGGAGCGGAAATTCGAGCTTGGAAGCTGCATCGAAGATCTTGGGATTTTTCAGGCACGGCACTTGGGGTTTTATTTCCCTCAAATCCGAGTTTCTTTGGGAAGGTGTTCCGACTTGAGTACCGGCACTGCGTCACTGTGGATTCATGGAACTCAGTCAGCGGTCAAAAGGAAACTTCCATCTTATCTGTTGGGTCTGTTCTTTTCCAACGGTGTCAAGTGGATAGTTATCTGACCGCCAGTCCGTCGACCGTTAAAACGATCTCTTGGGTGTTTCCGTTTTGACAATTCTGAATATACATACGGAATAGTGTACTGTGTAGAGTCTTCTCCATCCGTGTTAGCCCTAATTTTATATCTTTTTATAACCACGGATGCGAAACCGAAGTGACGTAATTTGACTTTATTTTCCCTCCGAAATTACCAATCCACGTCTCTTTCTCCTTTCAATCTCAACTCCATGACTCTGCATCATTCTGCCATCACCAAGCCTGCACAGATATATCAATGGATCGAGCCAAACAGATCAATTTTTGTTGACCGGTTCCGAATTCCGTGCTACGAAGAGTGTGACACGTCGCACAGGCGCCTGATTGCTGAAACTTCTCTTTCAAAGTCGGACTTTCTGTCGCCCAGCTCCCATGATATGGCTGAGTGGAGGAAGGTGTTGGAGGACGGTTCTCGGATGCAAGGTGGGAGAGGCCAAATGCAGCAACTGGAACCCGAAATGATAAACAAACTTCTTGTGATGTCGTGCGAGGTCATTGGGAGTCCTATCGGAATGTCAGTATTTTGATATCACGACGGAGATATATATGCGTCATACAGTCTACAGTGTTATTTGAGATATCGGATATGTGGCGGAACATGACGAATTACGGGCTTTTGCGTCCTCATTCTGATAAACAGTCGTCTCATCGTACGGGAAGCCCATGCTGAAGAGAAAGCTCCAGGTTATGATAACTTTAATGCCTCACTCCTTTTGTTTGCCGAGACTTCTCCCTTGAGGTATTCAATTTCTCTACAAAACTTGAACAAGAAATATTCGAAGCAAAAATGGCCAGTCCTAGATTGCCGCCCGAGATCATTGAGCATATTTTCTCATTTTTGGCACCGACCGGATACACAGATTTATATCTGACCGCTGCTCATTCGCACCCTCCGTCTGCTGCTGTTCAAACACGACATGAAGAATTAAATGAGATACGGAGAATGACGCTAGCTTCCCGCTGACTAGGAGAGCTGCACATAGGTACCTCTATCGCCATTTGGTTATAGGATGCTTCCGGTCAAGACAACTGAACACGAGGGCGCTGTTGCTCCATTGAACCTTGCAAAATGTGGCTCCAACGGAACGCCGGCCTATCTGCAAAACTCTTATCTTTGATTTGAAGTCAGTGCATAGGCTAGACCATCATCCGAATTACGCATCTATGCAGGTGGATTATGCGGTTCTTCGCACCGTGGTTGGAGACTTAGCGTCATGGGTCGCTTGTCACCGCGGGAGTCTGCATATTTTTGGTTGCTTCAAAGGTCGTGAATCACTTGGATGGTTATGCTTGGCTGCTGTCTTGAACAATCCCGAGACAAGAATCAAGAAACTGATCTTGACCAGTGATAGTATGGGAAACATGATATCAGAGACCGCTCGAGCCGACTCGGCCCTCATCAGAGGCCTCTGTGCTGACGGTTTGCATTCTGTCTTGCATGGCAGAATGCGCTGGCAACCACAACTGCACAATAATGTGAATGAGCTAGAGGAGTTGAGACTGGACAGGGTTAGCAGCTCGATCCCGAGAGATCTAACGCAACTCGAGGTAAGTATTTATCTTGATCAAATGTTTACCTGACCGCTAATAGAACACACTACTAAACTTTCACTCTACGAATTTAATGGATCTCGTCGAGACTTCAAGGCGTTGGCCAACTGGCCCGCAAGCCTCGAAGAATTCGAGATGGCTGGATGGACTCCACCTATCCCCTTT